TCCGTAAAATCACTAGGTGCACTCGCGACCATATTTTCATAATAAAACTGACCCAAAGTCTTCAGGAAGATCTTTGTCATCTCCTTTTCTTCAAGTGCAGGACTGATATGTGCAGCAATCTCGTGACACCTTTGCGCGTACTCCTTAAATGTTTCCTTCTCTTTCTGAGACATTGCACAGAGTTGATCACGGTCCGACACCATATCTAGATTGTACTTATATTGTCGAAAAAAAGCTTCTCAAGGTCATTGAATGTCTTAATCTGGGAACTATCAAGTCTCATGTAGCATTTCAATGCAACACCGATAAGACTATCTTGGAAATAATGAATGAGCAACTAATAGTTGTCAGTATGAGTGAACATTTTTATAGCATACATGACCAGATGGCTTTGCGGACAAGTTTTCCCTTTATATTTCTCAAAATCTGAAACCTTGAACTTTGTGGGAATCTTTCCATTTGGGATAAGACACAACTCATGAGCATTTTTTCCAAATAACTCTTTCCCTCTTAAAGCTCTGATTTCTTTCTGGATCTCCCCAAACTGATCTTGAAAATCATTCATACGGTCAAGGACATCCAAACTCTCACTTGGCTCAGCATGGAAAACTTCTTCTTCAGCATAAGACACAGTGTGACCTACAGTCGGTGGCACAGTAGGAATAATCAAAATCTCAGTACGAGGAACAACATTAACCACATGAGGTGGTACAATCATCATAGAAGGAACATTTAAAACTTCAGTAGCAGGAGGTTAATATCCCTATGGCACATAATTGAGAGGCATTCCCCAAGGGAAACCAGGAGGCATCTGATGTTGAGAAGTGTTAAACGGGGCCACAAATGGGCGTTGATGCAATCTCTAAAACCATGGTTCCCTGCACAGGAGTCTGAGAAGGTGGTGGCAGAGTTTCCATCATTGTAAAAAGTCTCTCTATATTTTATTTCGGAGTGGTTACCTCTTCATGAAGCTCACTATTTTCTTATTGCAACTGATCCATCTTCTTTCTCTGATTAGCCCAAGTATTATAGTGATGTGACAACTTCTCTGAAGGAAGACCAAGGGAAACAGATAAGATACCTGGAAAAGGAAAAACATAATGCACAATGATGCATGATATGCAAATGCAAATACAAATATTTCAAGGAACCTTAAAATGAATTGTGAATATTATCACAATTTTGGAATACTGAAAATCTCATTTCATTGATATTGGAAAAAGGATTACAAAGTTTAAAATACAATCTCAAAGAGTCTAAATACATAAGAGGAATAAAATTATATCTATGGAATCATGTCAGAAGATGACCCAATCCTAGGCTGATACTTCTCACGAAGCCTCTTAATCTCTCTCTTGTAGTTGTGTTCCATGGTATCCTTCTCCATCGCGAGTCGGTCCATGATGCTCTTCCACACTTCAGAGGCAGGAAGATGAGTAGATGATGAAGTGCTAGAGGAAAATAAATCCTCTATCTCTTTAAATCTCTTCGTAACACGTCGCTCAAGCAACTCAATCAAGTCATCCTTCTCTTTCAACTGTTTCTGCAAATTTGTCTTCTCCTTGTCTGAATCATGAAACTTGTTCTCCCACATCTCTTTCTCTTTCTTCATCTTAGTGTCGTACCTCGAAAAATATGATCCTCACAATGGACGCGGAAAAAACATTTGAATATAGTCACCACGAACTTTATTCATTCCAAGGAAGAAATATAAGAATATCGATAAAACCTTTAAAGGGATAAGAAAATGGTCATCACAACCAAATTCTAGGTTCGAGAGTCGGTTACGCAAGAGGGAATATATTAGCACCCTCTACATCTATTGTACTCAACGAGATCCTTTTGATTCGATTCGTGAAAAGAGTTAGATGGGTTTTTTTTTTATCTTCTAAAGGTTCACTTATAAGGGGAAATGAGTGGTTTTTTATTAGGGTGCTCGCCAAGGATTGGGGCCCTCGTGCCTACGTACTCCCTTGTGCAATGGGAAAGTCAGAGCATCGTAGTTCGTGGGACTATGGTTGGTTGGTTTGGGGTAAAAAGAAAAAGGTAGCTCGCTAGGATCTTGCAATCCTATGCCTACGTACCCTCATTGTGCAATGATGAAGTCATAGCAATCGTACTTCAGAAACTACGATAAAAGGTTAATGTATTTTATGAATGAGTGTTTAGGTCACGTTCTAACTGCTAAACATCGGCTTGTCTACTCGCTAGGGGATGCTAAAACACTAGTTCATATGCGCGGAAGAAGGGACTAAACAATGTTATTTGTGAAAGGTTGTTTGATTTGTGGATCATACAGGGGTGATGGCTTAGTGTTTTGAGAAGTTTCAATCACACGAGGGCGAGAAGTTGAATTAATATGTTGATCTTTTGTTTGGATGACAACTACTTGAAGCTTAAGAAAGGCTCATCGGACCCAAGTAATCGGGAGAGTGAGTCGAAGACTCGACTCTCTCTCTCTCTCTCTCTCTCTCTCTCTCTCTCTCTCTTTTTCAACCTTAATTGTGAAAGAGTTTTGAAATAGTTAGAGTAAATCAAACGAATGACAATTAATTAAAGCTTAAGAAAGGCTCATCGGGCCCAAGTAATCGGGAGTATGAGTCAAAGGCTTGACTCTCTCTCTTTTTCATCTAAGTATTTAAGAAAATAGATTTGATTTAGTTTATTATGAAATAGTTTGATGTGAGTCGGGTTATAAATCTTTTAGAGAAGATAATTGTTCAAAATTAAGAAAGGTTCCTCGGGCCCAAACAATTGAGGAGAGGAATCGAAGACTCCATTCCAACTCCCTTTTCATCTTTGAAGTGTGATCCAAATATATTTAAGTTCATTAGGTTGAATTTTGATAAAATGCTTGATATTGATCGAGGTTTGGATTTGTGTACGAAATGGTGTAAGGACTGAGCTAATTGGTAAGGAGGTTCTAATGGGTTTAGGGTAAGGTCGATGGCGAGGCGAAAACGCTCGACTTACAAAAAGGGTAGGTTTGTACTTTAAGGTTTCGATTCGAATTCAAGATTCAAGACAAGATACAAATGAAATAAATAATTGAATTGAGTTTTAATTGTGTGCACTAGCAAAGTGAGCTAGTCTGCTAAACAACCTACTAGAAGTAATTGATCGAATAGGTCTCACTGTAAGAAAACCTAGGGGTAAGCTTTGAATGTTGTGTAAGGTAACCAAAAAAGGTTGATGGTGATGCTTAAAAAGCAATCGACTTACAAAGGTGAAAAATGGCTTGACGTTGGAGCGAGAATTTACTTCTTTTGAAAAGGGTTTAAAGCATCAAAACACAATCTAGACAAACGAGTAAAATGTGTACATCAAAATGGGAGCGGGGTACATGTAAGTTACACGGGATTGCATTAAATAAAAGGTCTCATTGTCAGGTAGCCCAAGAGGAAGCCGTTTGTGTGCGAGGTGTCCTAAACTAAGCCACAAACAAAAACTCGGACAAAATCTCCTTGCTAGGGTTTCTGTGCAAAGTCCAAGTTCTGTTGCTCAAAAAAGTAACCATAGTCCACCAATTTAAGCTTTTAAGGTTTCGATTGTTATTAGTGTGTTTTGAACAAGGTATGAATAAGATAATAAGATGAATATGATATGAACAATATGAATAATGATAATAAACAAGATAATATCAATAATAATATAACCAAGATAATAGGAACAATGATATAATCGAAATATATTGACGGAAATGTAAATCGAGAGTATATTGGACATAAATTAAAGTTAATGGTTAATCGGTAATCGGATGAATCGGGTCCATTTTAAAACTAAACCATCATAGCACGATCTATGATGAAGATCAAGCTATAGGAGCCCGTTCAAAAATGATATTTGTGCTAAAACATGATGGAGAAATGATATTATGAATTATTCTCAAAGAAATCGTGTCGCACGAAAAGAAAAGGGGATGGTCTTGTCTTAATCATAAACTTTCATCGATTAATCGAAAGTAACCTATCACGATCCCAAAGTATAGAAAATGATTTCGATGATCATTCACTACATATTTAAAATAGTGAAAGTTAAACAACCTCAACCATCAACGATTCGTGATGCTTAGACTTCATAGACCAAACTTGAAATAAAATCAAACATAATATTAAAATGGAATAAACCAAGAGAAAAATATAAATGGAAATAATAAATCAAAGATTACTAAACAATAAAAAAAACAAATCCCAAACAAAAATAAGAAAGAAATATCCTTTTTCCTCTTTTTTTAAAAAACGAATAAGAAAAGAAACAAATGATAAATAATTTTTAAAAAACATGAATAAGGGAGAGTATGCATTGAATCTATGAAGGTGTGGAGTAAAATCCCACACGGGCTTCAAAGCCCAAACACACATCCAAAGAGAGAAAATAATAAAAAGAAAAAAAAGCTCATCATCAATCCTCACGCTATTCTCAAAACAAGGAGGAAGAGTCGATTGTAGCTTTCAGAAAAACCAAAACCAAACTAAGCTATTCTATTTGTCAGATCACTTTTCATTTTAAACTAAAAGAAAGCCAAAAAAATGGAAGAATAAGAAACTTATGGCGAAGCGTTTTGTCCCAACCTACACGATCTATCTCCGTCTTCACTTTTTTCTCAGGTGCGGTTTTAATTCTTTCTCGCTCGTTTCTCCTCTCTTCTTCCCTCTTTTTGATTTGTTTGATGTTTTTCCTCGAATTTTCTTCTTCTACTCTTCTTGTTTCGATCTAGGTTTGACTTGGGGTCATCGTAGGTTTTGTTTTGAATGGGTTTGAAGGTTTGAGGAGGGATTGAAGAATTTGGTTGAAGGTGAGTTGAGGTTGGAAGGATTTAGTGGTTGAAACATTGATAAAGGATGAGGTTTTAGCAGTGTAGGTTTGGTTCATTTGGATTCCTCAATCTGTTTTTGGGGTGTTTATGGTTTGAAGAGAAGGTAGAGGTGAAGATTAATGGAAAGGAGAAAATTTCGGGTGAAAGTAGAGGCCATGGGTTTATAGAATGAGCTAGAGGGTAAATGTGGAAAGTTCGAAAGGAATTGTTGCTGATGCGTTTTGTTGCTTCGTGTACAGTTTTTGTGGGATTTGGAGAGACGTTGCATTGGGATTTTCATGGCCAACTGGTTTGTACGACCCATGGCTTCAAGTGGGGTCGCTTGCTTTTTGTTTTGCAGCTCATGGCCTGTGGAGGATTTCTTTTTTCTTTTTCTGCTGTGGATTCTGTTACGTCATTTAACTTGAAAAATCATATCGGTTTGTTGTGGCTGAGTCATGACAAGTTGTTGGAATTGTTTTGTGTGATTTATGTGATGTGGTGAATGATGAGATTGGTTTTGTTATCCAACAGGTTGGTATTTACAGTATGTGCTTCTCTTTTCGCAAGTTTTTCGTTCTCAAATATTCATTTGTTCTTTTTGTTTGTTTTTTAAGGAAGAGTGGGTGAGCAGAGTTGGTGAGGTTGTACAGGTGCGTTAGCTTTTTACGGGGTTTATGGATTCTTCATGTTGTGTTTAGCTTGTCTGCAAATTATGTTGGTTTGTTCATTATAAAACTGATGCAAGTTGGCTATGTGGAATGATGTGCGTTGCGGAAACGTTGGGAGTTTTGGCTGAAGGTGTTGTTTTGTATAGTTGAATATGTATTTACTGCAGTATGTGGTTATGAAATGTACTGTAAATTATGCAGGTCGGTTATATAATTTGGTTGCCACGGGAATTAATGGTTCAGGGTGTGCATTGAAGCTTAGTTTGTGGGGTAGGCAATTGAAGAATTTTGTGCGTTGAAAAAGACTTATGCTAATGTTGTGTTGTGTCTTACTAGCTTGCATCATGTATATTTTTGCTTCTTTTTTTTGTAATTTTATGGTTTGGAAAAATGGTGGACTTTTGTTGTGAATGTACGTTTTTTCTTTTGTATATTCTAATGGGCCTTGGTGTAATGTGGACTTAGAATATGAACTTGTTTTGTATGTGCTTTATTTTTGCAAAAGGAAAATGTAATACCAAATATGTCATGGCCCTTGTATTTTTTTTATGTAGAACTTCATGAACTTTTAATCCTTGAATTCTGGTCTGGATTGAAAAATGAGCTGATGCCTTGAATCAATAAATACACCTGAACTTTGCCACTTGCACTGATGAACCAAATATTGCACCATGAACAAAATGAGCAACAAAAATGTCTTGAAATCAGAAAATGATGCCTTGAAATATGCACTGCATTACCCAAACCCTGATTGCAAATGCACTGATCTCTTAATGATCCTCGATCATGAAGCACTATGACCTTGACACAACCTTGATAACTTAACCCATACACTGATGGCTTGAATTAACAGGGAACCCCTAACACTTGACACCTCTTGAGGAATATTGATACAAATGGCTTTAATACTCGATGATCTTTGATAAAAAGGTATCTATGATGATGAGAAATTAACCCTTGCTCCAAACTTGAATGAAGATACCTCAAAGTATAAAGGAATCTTGATTCAAAGAACCTCTTGATCCCAGGCCTTGATCTTAACCAACATGCCTGACCAAAGTTAGGTCAAAACCATTGAATCTCCATCAATATTGCCCACACACTTGACTTGAGATATGCAATAAGCAGAATGGAAGCAGAGATTACATATTTGGGGTTTCTGAATGATAGTTAGTGAAAGGTATGCACAGGTAGGACAAATTTATGGTATGACACTTAGCCAAAGCTTCTTAAAGACTTCCTCTATCATCAACGGGAATAATAGAAGATGACGATGTAATAACAGGCAATAATGGCTTCTCAAGAGGATAAGGCATATTGAGTTGACAAGCTCTATCATTGACCCACTGAATGTAACACTCAAAAGCAACACAATGTTGCCTTCTTAACTAATCTTTATCTTTCCTATCGACCTTGCACCAAGAATGCACAATCATATTCTTCAACTCCAAGCTCTCTATTCCATCAAGGAAAAAATACCCAACAATGCAAGACTACTAGGTTTATCCTTCAAGGAATATCCAAACCGGCGCCTAGCAAGAATAATGTGTGTAGCTAATTCCTCCCTATGTACCAAGAAAAGGCACATTGGGGAACTCTCTACAACTATCAATAATAACTCCATTATCATGCGTTGAATAATACCAAGTTATATTTGTATGAGTGAGGGAATAAGTCTCTGAGACCATATGAGCTTATCCTCGTTGTCTTTGAAGAGTTGAGATTGTGGCAGGTGCGAAATAAACCACTTGTACAATAGAGGTGCACAACAAGTAATCTCTCATCCACCTTTAGAAGTCCTATAGTGAATGGAATGATAAGTGTTTCCTAGCAAAGTAGGCACAGGGTTCCCAATCAAAAAGATCTGAATAGCATGAATATCGATAGCACCATCAATGTTAGGAAACAACACAAGACCATAAATCAACAAGGAAAGAATAACCTCAAATGCATCCACACTTCCCATAGTAGCAAAGGTAGAAGATTTCCCCATCAAGAACTTGGCACTAATCCCCAAAATTCCCCTCTTGGTGACAAATTTTCCCTTAAGATCAGACTCTCTAAGATGAATAGTTTTGGAAATGACCTTGAGTGTAAGAACTTCCTCCAAACCACTGAAAGGGACCTTGTCTGAAAAAAGCAAACCCATCCAATAAGAGTACTCTTATAAAGTCGGCACAACTTGATAGTCAGGAAAAGTGAAGCAATGGTGCAACGGATCGTAGAACTAAATCAAGGTGTTAAGAACCACATCTTCCATATCAGTCTTCATAATGGAAAAAAGTCTCCCATAACGACCTCTAAAATCTACAGGACTAGATACCAAAGATCCAAGCCTTCTAAACTCTTTTAGATCAGGACTCTTGACACTATACTTTTACGTATTCCTTCATCTAATATCCATAATTACTGACATCTGAAATGTTTTCAAAAAAAACCTTTAAGTTCCTTACAAGAATGCTCATGAATGCATGAGTGCATGTATGCAGCAACCACAAACAAGACCACACAAAGCACACGGGTTCAAAGGTTCGGCACGAGCATGGATCCAAGGGATAAGAACCAACCCACAATGGTATGTACTAAGGTTATCAGCACCTGTAGAACAAGGTTCAAAAAAGTTCCCAGAGTCATAGTTCCATCTTTCGGATATTACCGGTATGAACGACTACTCGCCTACCAGTAATATTCTCAAGAGAAAATTGTCCGAGTGTAGTATCACATGACAATCACCTCAGGTCTACACCTGGATAATCTCTGCACTACGTCCTAATAGGCCAGGATGAGTTAAAAGGTAATGTCAATCACGAGTGCTCGTATGACATCAGTAATCCAAAGGGGTCTCCACTGAGCGATGGATCTCGACTTGACATGCTAAGGACTACTCCAAGCACATCTCCTCAATTATACCACACATCCTATCTTAAGAGCTCTCATATATGGGTATAGGACTTATCTCACACAGATCACCAAGCATCCAAACAGAACAACCAATAACAAACAAATCAACCAAATAAGCATAAATAAATCAAAGTAGGTTGGACCCACTAAGAACCAGATTCCCCAGCAGAGTCGTCACTTTCCTATAGCAGTAAAAATTGTGAGTGTAAGTTATTGATTAACTTAAATCATAAAGCATGAGTCACCACCGCACTTTTATTTTATCCAAAAGGAAAGGAAAATGAGCGAACAAAACCTAAACAAGTTCTAAAACAAGAACAAATAAACAGAGACTGGGTAAGGGGGTTGGTTACGCTAAGGGAAGGTCTTAGCACCTAAAACATCTATAGTACTACATAGGAACCCTTTGAAATATCTACGCTTCTTGGCTTGAAAATATTTGTTTGAAATGAGATTGAGGAGATGAGAAAAGAATTTTTTTTAAAGATTTTTGTGTTTGGAGAGACTTCTTGAGCCTCATGCCTACGTACCCACAAAGTGCAATATAGGATCAAAACCTTGTAGTTCATGGTACAAATAACAAAATTGGTTTGTTTTGGTTGATTTTAAATGAAAAGACAAGTCGTCATTTTAAGGAGAAAACTACGACTAGTCGCCCACAAGTATAAGAACAGAACATTTGCATCATCTTAAGATAGAGGATTTTTGCTTGGATTAAAATCAACAAGTCTATGGGGAATATGAGAACTACATCTCAACTATGAAAACGACTCATGTCTAAACTTTTTGAAAAGTTTTAAATGAAAAAGTGCACAAAGGCAGGTTTGAATGTGTTTAAGTGTTTTATATGTCTTTTTGAAATTAGTCAAAGTATGATTAATATTGGTTGACATTTATTAAAGAAAATAAAGTTTGAAAATCACTTGATCAAATTCAAGTTTTTTTATGAAAGAGGTTTAATTTTGAAAACAAGAAGGTTTTGAAAAAGGGAGAAGATTTTGAAAATTGAAGAAGGGAAGGAGATGAAGTGACTATCCTAGAACACAAAATAAGATCTAGATAAGGGATGATCTAACCACACAAGGAGCAAACACTTGACAAGAAGTCAACCTAAGAAATCCTTTTCCTTTTGGATTTAAACCACAAGTATAATAACCAGATGAAATAAATCATCGGAGGAAATCCTAAGTTAAGCCATAGAAAAGTCAAAGTAAGGTCTTTCCAAGGTTTAAAGTCCAATTAGGAGAGTCATGTATCAGATAACTTTCATAATTCCAAAGTATCAACACATGCACACAGATAATTTCCCAACAAACAGACAATAGCAACACAAAAGTCCAAGGTCTCCAATCTCCAAGAGCAAAGGGCAAGGGTCCTAGATCTAAATCCGAAGTCCAAGTCCAAAGTCCAAGCATAAGGTCATAACAGTCCAGATTTAAGAGAACAAAGTATTTAAAGTGTTTTACTATTTATTAATGTCTTAAGAAAGGTATGGTCCAAGTGGACAAAGTAGAAGAAAAAAAGCATAAACAAAAGGCCCAAATGGACAAAGAGAAAATAAGATGATAATAATATGAAATGCTAAAAGTAAAAGCATAAAAATAAATGGCAAGAAAGTAAAGAGCAAAAATTAAATGGCAGAAAGTAAAGTTAGCATAATAATAATTAATATTTTAGTGTTAAAGATGAAGATTGATAACTCACTTACAAAAAAGAACTGATTTTCGATTCGGGACCAATTTAGCGCTATGTTAAGCAATCGTAATTGGACTTACGTAGAAGTCACAACCATCTGGGACCGATCAATAATAATGTATGTGTTAATACAAGCTAGAGAATGACATGTAAGTCAAACTCCTAAAGCTTACCAAACTAAAATAAAAGAGGTAGTGGTCTCATCTTAATCACAACTTCAAAGAAAAGTCTCATGATA